TCAGGATATTTAAATCCCAGCTTCATTTCCACTTTCAATACATCTAATTTACATCCCTCTGCCGACAGAGGAGTGTAGTTTAGACATAGCCTTCGACACTCAGAGCCATCCCGTCCACAGGATGGTTCGGGGTAGCTGCCTCAGGCCCCATGCTTTAGGGCCCTCTATGGCAGCTGCAACAACTGTCTTATGTATGGGGGAGGCCCAGGCAATTATGGGGGAACTGGCACAGTGGTAACAGGGCTCATCCACCACCCTCACCACGCAGGAAGCTGGAGCCATAGTGACCCAGCAGTCTACTCCGCTCTGTTCCACCCTGCCTCACCGCCCTCTCTCAGACTGGTGTGCTCTGCTTCTCAGGGGTGACAGGAAGGAGAGCTCCCCAGGCCCATGGTGCCCTGCTTCCCACTGCTTCAGAGAAGCAGGGTACAGCATGCCATGAGGGCAGCACGGTGGGGCAGGGTAGGCCGGGGCAAAGCCAAACAGAGAAGGGCAGGCAGTTGGGCCACTTTGGCTCCCGCTGCCCGCGCGATGAGTGGAGGGTAGGGCAACTCCTGCTGCCATTACATGAGTCCCTGGGACACATTGCTTGGTGGGAGAGGGCTAGAGGTGGAGCGGAGACAGGGCTTGGGAAAGGGGTGGAGTGAGGTCAGCACCTGTGACAGGGGGTTGCCCCATGCCTTGTGCCTGGACCACTGGTGGATGGGTGGAGAGGAGTTGCTCCAGGCCCCACAACCACCTTGGAATGGCCCTGAAGACACACACCCAGTGACTACTTTTAACATTTTTAGTCTTACGTTCTCAGAGCCTCAGTTTCCCTGTGATTAGAATGGGAGCTGAGAGGCTTCATTCATTAGCTTGTTTGCAAAACATCTTGACATCCTGTGATAGAAACTTCTATCGATTAGCAAAATATACATTACTCATAATCAGGTGATCTCATTTAATTTTTATGCTCAGAAGAAAATTCTTTAATTCCTAAAATTAAGGATTTAGTCTTGTGACTGTTCTTCTATCACCAGGATTGTCTCTAGCAGAAATAATTCACACATTTACATGTTTAGAAATGTTTCTTTTTAGGAACACTTGTATATTACTATTGGCACCAACATCCTCTTCTCAGGCTGACATCATCCCTTATTTGGTGTGTTTGGGAGTATGAATGATGGCAGAAGTGTTTTACATTTAGAGGGCATAACACTGACAAACACAATGGATTTTAAAAAATCAGTTTTACTACAAGGTATACATTCTCTTTTTTATGATTAAACAAGGTGTGAATGTATTGTAGTGATAAGGGTCAGATATTGTATGAGAATATTCTTAGGATAATACTACATGGTAACATAATGCTTGATCTTTTATTAAAATATTTTGTAGGAAATACATTTTTGTTACAGAAAAATTATGTAAGAAAGGAATTATAGCAGAAGATTTATGTATAAGTTAGAGGTAGATCCAGCCTTTTGAGTTATATCAGATCCTAAGCAAGAGTGGGACCTCAAACTACTGAGCCAGGGATTGAAAAACCTCTTTCCTATGTCTCTGGTTCCAGCACTGACAAGGGGTCTGGATTTATAAAATCATAGAATCATTGGATTGAAAGGGTGCGTTTCTACTGCACCTGTAGTTCAAAATAAACTACGCAATTTGAGCTATGCAAATTGTGTAACTTATTTTTGTTCCATTTTGAAATAGATTATTTCATAATTTGGTGCTGTCTACACAGCGCCGTATTACAAAATAACCCACTATTCTGAAATGTTCCTTACTCCTCATGGAATGAGATTTACAGGGATGTCAGAATAGCAAACCTTTTATATTTCAAAATAATGGGCTTGCCGTTAAGAGTTGGGATAGCTATTTCGGGATACCTCAGGCCTTGAGAGAGCATCTAGTCTAGTTCCCTGCACTGATGGCAGGAATAGGTATTATCTAGACCATTCCTAACAGGTGTTTGTCTATCTTGTTCTCTGAAATATCCAAGGGTGGAGATTCCGTAACTTCTCTTAGGCTATGTCTAGACTGCAGGCTTCTTTCGAAAGAGGCTCTTTCGAAAGCATCTTTCGAAAGAGCCTCTTTCAAAAGATCGCGTCTAGACTGCAGGCGGATCTTTCGATAGAGGAAATCCGCTTTTTCAAAAGAGAGCACCCAGCGAGTCTGGATGCTCTCTTTCGAAGATGGCCTCTTTACATTGTAGAACACCTTCTTTCGAAAGAGGAACTTTCGAAAGAAGGCGTTCTTCCTCGTGAAACGAGGTTTACCGCCATCGAAAGAAAAGCCACGTTCTTTCGAAATAATTTCAAAAGAACGCGGCTTGAGTCTGGACGCAGGGGAAGTTTTTTCGGGAAAAGGCTACTTTTCCCGAAAAAACCCCTGAGTCTGGACACGGCCTTAGTAATTTATTCCAGTGCTTAACCACCCTGAAGATTAGGAAGTTTTTCCTCGTGTCCCACCTAAACCTTCCTTGCTGTGATTTCAGCTCATTGCTTCTTGTCCTAGCTTTAGAGATTAAGAAGAATAAATTTTCTCTCTCCTTCTTGTAACAACCTTTTATATACCTGAAAATTGTTGTCATGTCCCCTCTTGGTCTTCTTTTTCAGACAAAAGAAATCCAGATTGTCCAGTCTTGCCTCATAGATTATGTTTTCTAGCTCTTTAATCATTTTTGTTGCTCTCCTTTGGACTTTCTCCAATTTGTCCACATGTTTCCTGAAATGTGGCACCCAGAAGTGAACAGAACCATCTGAGGCCTACTCAGTGCAGAATAGAACAGAAAAATTACAATTTTTCTTCTAATACTTCCCAGAAATATGTTTGCCTTTTTTTCAGCTTTGTTACTGTTGATTCATATTTAGCTTGTCGTCGTCTATAACTCCCAGATCCCTTTTCATGGTTGTCCTTCCTGGGTAGTCATTTCCCATTTTGCATGTGTGCAACTGAGTGTTCCTTCCTAAATGGAGTACTTTGCACTTATCATTGAATTTCATCCTATTTACTTCCTACAATTTCTCCAGTTTGTCCATAATGTTTTGAATTTTAATCCTATCCTTCAAAGCCCTCGCCACCCCTCCCAGCTTAATATCATCTGTAAACTATATAACTGTACTCTCTATGCCTTTATTAAAATAATCTACGAAGATATTTAACAGAACCAGACCTAGATCTGAGCCCTGTGGGACTCCATTTGTTATGCCCTTCATCATATCTGTGATACATTAATAACTGTTCTCTGAGAAATTTTCTAACCAGTTTTACACCCATCTTATAGCAGCTCCATGTAGGGTGCATCTCCCTAGTTTGTTTATGAGAAGGTCATGTGAGACAGTATCAAAAGTCAAGATATACCATGTCCACAACTTCCCCTCCATCCACAAGGCATTTGTCCTTGACTTGCTGACTGTTACATATCTCCTTAACATCTCTATCTTCTAGATGTTTGAAAACTGATTGCTTAATTATTTGCTCCATTATCTTTCCTGGTAGAGAAGATAAGCTGATTGATCTATAATTACCCAGGTTTTCCTTATTTCCCTTTTTATGGATTGCCATTATATTTGCCCTTTTTCAGTCTTTTGAAATCTCTCCCATATTCCATGACTTTTCAAAGATAATAGTTAATGGCTCAGATATCTCCTCAGTTCCTTGAGTATTCTAGGATGGATCTCATCAGGCCCTGGTGTACTTGAAGACATCTATTTTGTCAAAGTAGTTTTTAACTTGTTCTTTTCCAATTTTTGGCTCTGATCCTCTTTTGCACTGGTATTCACTATTTAGATATCCAATCACCAACAACTTTCTTGATGAAAACTGAAATGAAGAAGTCATTAAGCACCTTTGCCATTTCCACATTTTCTCTTATTATTTTTCTTCCCTAATTAAATAAAGGGCCTACCCTGTCCTTGTTCTTTCTCTTGCTTCTAATGTATGTATAGAATGTTTTCTTGTTACACTTTATGTCTCTAACTATTTTAATCTCATTTTGTGCTTTTGACTTTCTCGTTTTGTCCTTATAACTTTGTGTTATTTGTTTATATTCATCCTTTGTAATTGTACCTAGTTTCTACTTTTCTAGGTTAAGCCAGGGTGGTCTTTTGCCATACTTCCTATCTTTCTTCACAGTGAGTGTTTTGTCTTGTGCCTGTAATAATGTCTCTTATTATATCCTCCCAGTCACCATTTTCCCTGGTAGTTGGGAAGATATGGAGCAGGTGCAAGCCCATGACTTGTCAAGTCATCACAGACTTGATGGTTGCAGTTGTCATGCGTAAGGTCCATCTTTGATACAGTCTGATAGGTTTAGCACAAAATTGCTAACAAAGAAACGCAAGTTTTTTTCATAAAGATAGCCAGACTATGATGGAGGCGAAGGGTATATATGGAGGGATGACTGATGGGTTTCATTTAGACTGTAGCAAAAGTAGCTGAGCAGGCTGGGGGTGCAGCCATTGGCGGCACATGCTCCCTACTCCTTTGTGCCTCCTCCATCCCCAAGCACAGAGGAGGGAGGTGGGAGGAAGGCACCTCCTGCTCCGTCTCCTCCTGCCATGCCTCAGCCACCACGGATGCTGGAGCTGAGCCACTGTGAACAGCCAGCTTGAGCTTCGGCAGTCAGCATGGCCCGGCCGCAGCGGGTCACAAACTGGCAGCAGTCCATGGCCCAGCTGTTGGGAACTGCTGCTGTAAAGTATTAATAAAAGGCTTAACTTAAACACCACTATGGGCACATTCCCACACAGAGCAACATGCAATCATAGTGCTGTATTCCCTGTCTCCTCCCTTCTGGTCATAATTCTCAGTCATTCTATCATATCTTATTGTTTACTGGTCACTCTTTGAGGCAGGGGCTGTGTGTTTCTTTGTCTTCAGGGAAGCATATAGTGCACAGTTAGCTGCTATGAAATAATTAATAATAAAGTCAAACACCAGCTCACAATGAACTAAGAATCCCATATTTTAAATGCAAAAACATGTTTATTTGACAGATGTGATTAGTAAGGTGCTAATAATGAGAGAGAAATGTGTGATTTACATCTGGCTTGAAATGAAATCATGTCTTGGGGTATGTCTACCCTGTAGTCAGACGTGTGAATGTAGCACATGGAGACATACCCACTCTCCCCAGTTCAAGTAGGTTCCAATTGCAGTGAAGCCCCCACAGCAGAGACTTAAGCATGAGCTATAGAAGCCCATCTGGAAGGCTGGGGACTTACTCAGGCCTTTAATCAGCACTGGGGCCTGCTGCTGCAGCTTCACTGCTATTGGTACGAGAGCACCAGCTAGAACACAGCTAACTCAGGTATGTATTTGTGTGCTGCCATCACACCCCCATCTCCAGTACATACAGCATAAGGGCCCAGCTCAGTACCACAGGAATGGGTTTTTTTCTGCTTTCTGTGTTGGGAAAAACACAGTATTCCACATTTATGGCCCAGTCCTGCAGACCTCACCCACCTAATCAGGGCTGCAGGTTCAAGACTTAAGTCAGCATGGGCATAGGTGCAGGATGTGGCCTCTTCACAATAAAGGTGCCTGCCAAACACAGGGCACGAGTGTAACCCCACCAGGCAGAACCTGGGACCTCTGGAGCTTAGTGCATGAACCTCTACAGCTTTGAGCTAAAAGCCAGCTGGCTCCCAGTTAAGTCTGTAGAGCACACTCATTCTTTTTCTCTATAAGTGGTCTAAGTGCCACTACCTGGGACTGTGAACCATGCCCAGTAGATGTGTAGGTTACACAAGCTGAAGGAACACTGCTATACATGAACATGCAGCTCAGCAAAAAACAGAATGACTGGCACGTGTCACTTGCTAGCTGGCCCTTAGATCCTAACTGTTCTTTACAATCAATGTACAATAGGTGCTACTCCAGCTCTCAGCCCTGATGCATCCCAAATTGATCGAGGAATAAGTGCTGGAACTCGGAGTAGAGGAGCTGCCGCATCCCCTGGCTTGAAGTGGTTTCCATTACATACAGGGTTTACAGTTTGGTTCATTGACTCTCAGTACTCCCACTATTCCAATTATTCCAGCACCCCTGGATCTAGGCATCCTGGCACAAGCTGATAGCATGTTATGTATGTGTCTCTCTGTAGGCCACTATAGAATGGAAGTGAATTGTGCTCAACAGAGTAACTCTCTTGAGAGATGTCCATGTGGGCTTTTCGTAGGGGTATGTGCTGTGGATTCTTCAAATAATGGAACAAACTGGACCCTATGTTTATTTTTGTTTGTTTGATAATTATTGAAATCAGAGTTATCTAGTTAGAAAGGATCAAAATTATAAAAGAAAAACGACAATTGATTTACTAATAATAGAATCTTATGGTTTTGCACAATCTTTGCATGCACAAGAGAGGACATTTTTGTACTTGAAGTCAATTGTTTTCTTGTTGCAAATAAGAATACCAGACTGATACTCAATTTCATCTTCCTGGCAGCAGCAACACTGGCGTTCTTTGTAATCAAAGCTAAAGGGAAGAAAAAAGTTGTTAATAAACTGCATTGTTTTGAAACGTTAAATACAACTTCAAAGTGCCAAGATTTAAACTTGCGTGGTGGGTGACCACCTTCCTTGGGGAGTCAGTCTCCAGCCCCACCCCTTCTGCCGGAAGTCCTGTCCTTTCCATGCCCATTAGCCCTAACCCTCCCATTGTGGATGCTGGACCCTGCTTCCCAGCTCTGGAGCCCAGGGTTGCTAGGAAGCATGGCCCCAGGTCCCCTAACCCAGAGAGTCAGGCAGGCAGTATGGCCCCAGGCACCTCAGGCTATGCTGCCTGACTGGCCTGCCCACTCATGAAGCCCCCCCTCCCCACAGCTGAGCTTCCAGTCCCATCAATGGGTGGCTGGAGAGGCCCCAGGGGGCACTGCAACCTCAGCCTGCCGGCCCTAGCCTCTAGAAGCAGGCCCTCTCAGAGAATGATAGAAACCCAGGCCACTTTGATTTTAGAGGCTCCACCTACTTTGTGCCCCTTTTCCAAGGCCCCACCCCTGCTCATTCCATCCCATTCAGTCCCTCATCCTTCCTCCCTTCATCCATCAGGGGCAGAGGGTTTGGATGCAGACTCTGGCCTTGGGTACAAATTTGACGCAGTGACTCAATCAATATGTAAGATCAGATTTTATAGAGTCAATAATAACAACAACAACAAATTGGCTTGATAGTGCCTTTTTGCATCAGATTGAGATGTTAGGCTGCGATTGGTGGAAAACTCAGTTGAAATGTCAATACCCTATGCTACTGATTTGGACTCAGAAAGGATTGGGTCCCATTTATCATGAATCTTTGAATATCTTTAAGAAGCTGTTCAATGTTATCCCTATGAACATCTAATGTAGCATTGCATGCTTCAATTACATGATTAGTTTCATGGATCATTTTTAGTAGCTTCATCCACATGGATGACTTTGAAATGCATTCAAATTTGGATGTATACTTCTGAATTGACTTAAGCTCAGTGTGAGCATGTGCTGTGAGAATAAGATATTCAAGCTCACTTAAAGCCTTTCTCACAGAGTCCAATGCCATGCAACTGGTTTAATATCATCAATTCAAGCTGACCATCTTATTGTTGACATTCTGTGAAGGAAAACAGGCAGATGTTGCTTCAGAATTTCCCACTTTCAAGGATTGCTACTGAAGAGGTTGTACAATTGCTGGATTGTTCCAAAGTATGTGACTGCTTCCTTGCATGATTCAGCACAATGAATGCTGACAAGATTCAGTGTGCAGTTGCCACAACTGGAGAAAATACAGTTTGGATTTTGCTCAAGAAGGACTGCTTGTACTCCAGTGTACTTCCCAGCAATATTGGATCCACTGTCATAGGACTGACCAATGCAGCCTTGAAAATTTAATTTGAAGCCTTTCAGAATTTCTAATACATGAGCGGTGATTTATTTTCCAGGGTTTTTTTGTGAAATTATCGAACAAAATGAATAGTTCAATTGAAGCTTTTGAATTTCCTGCATTTTTAACATATTGACCAACCAAGGTCATCTGTTCTTTATGAGAAAAGTCTGGAGTTGCATCAATAATAATAGAAAAGTATTTTGCATGTCGTATCTCTTCAAGAATTGTTGTTTGCACAAATGTTCCACACATCTAAATAAACTCGTTTTGTATTCCAGTAGACAGATAATGAACTTCCATATATTTTCCGCTGCCTTGTGATTCACAAACACACTTAACATGGCCTGATAAAAGTGTATCATACTTGCTAAGAAGCTCAAGTACAAAGTTTTCATCATCAGAACTGGAAGTGTCACTGCCAGTATGGTCACTGTCTAATGGCTGAGGCATCTTTCTGTGAGAAATTATGTTATTGGCTTTAAACTCTTAACTGGTGCTTCACTCTGTTGCTTTCACCATCTCTTACTTGCACCACTTTCAAATCTTCGCTTCATTTTTAGAAAGGGTTTCTTTTAAAACACAGTAACACACAATAAATTAATTTGCTAACTCCTTTAGATACTGTTCTGTATTTTGTTCTGAAAGTTGCTTGAATAACTATAGAGAGATTTTATTTACAGTTCCAGTGAGGGTTTATACCTGAATCAAACATAATAGAAATAATGGATCTAGTGAGGAACAAAGGCCCAGATACAAAAAGTTATTTAAGTGCCTAATTTCCATTGATTTCAAGGGAGATAGGCACATAAATACCTTGGGTTATATGGACCTCAACTTCTTCTCTCACTGACCTTCCCTTCATGCAAGAACATCTTGCGAAAGGAAAGATATTCAGACTTTCAACTCTTGGCATTTCCTCCTCATTGTCATTCCACTGTAAGGAGCTTTTCCCACTGCAATGCTTCTTTTTCTAATCCAGCAGATTTCTTGGGATCCACACATATTTTGGGATCAAAAGCAGAAGCTTAAGGCCTCTACATAGCTATACTCCTAATGCTTACATTCATCCTCTGCTGCTACCTACTGCTGTTTACAGAGCATCAACACCTCCCAAATGGAAACTACCATTCTGTAGGAAAGCAGCTGATATCAGATTCCAACTTCTCTCACTCCTGGATCCATCAAGCCTCATACCATACTCACATGGTGGCTTCTCTGTGCCTGGGCATACAGGGATCATGATGTGTGCTGAAATCAATTTTTCCTGACTTTTTCTATGACAGTTACCTATAATGGGTTCATCTCTCCTAGAGTTATGTAAGCACAGGAGAAAAACAGGTACTCCATCTTTTATAGTATCATTTAAAAAATCAAATAATTTGTCTCATACAATTGAGCATCTCAAAGACATTTCCAATAAGAAATCAGTTTGAATTTGTTTAAATACAGCCTGATAACTTACTTTTCTTTTTTGCTGCAATGATCGCTGCATTTGGAAGCATTAACTGAAGTGCTACAACGTTTGTGTGTATACTCTATGACTGTAGGTACCGGCTTGCACGTTTTCTCACCTAAAAGAGAGATTACAGTTATAAGAGAAGACTTGTATTGAATAGCACTAGTTAAGAATAAATGTGCCTATGCTGATTATATATCTTTTTCCTATATATTTGAGACTGTCTGATTCTCTGTCCATCTGTTTGTTCAAGAAGTTCTCCTGAACATTAAGATCTAGGACCACCAAATTTGGCATACAGCTTCCTCTTATAACTTAAAGCAAGGTCAGGGCTTGGTTGTGCCAGGAAAATGGTTTTCTGAGAAGCAATCCCATTCCAGGCACATCCCATACAGAAAAGAGACAGAATTACCAGGCAGATGAAAGGGGCTGGCTGGGGATGTCCCCCTCCCCCATCCAGGACTTCCCCAGCTCTCAGCCTCCTACCCCAGGTGCCCTTTAGGGAGGGCGGAGGGGGCTGAAGGCCCCCCCATTCGTATGTGAGTATTGCTATCTGTTCCCCTTTGTCAGTAAGCGAGGGGAAAATGTGCAGTTTTCTTCATTCCAATCTCTGGCTGGTAAGCACAGGGAAAGAAGAACCTGGATTAGCCCCAGCTGGGAGACAAGGCTCTGTCTACTGGAGCTGCAATGGCCATGGAGAGGCACTTCTCACCTGGCCCCAAGATGCTACAGTGAGAGAGGTCTGGGGTAGGCCTCTCTCCCCTAACCAGTCTGCACACTGAACCCCTCATCCCCAGTCCACCCTAGTGCAATAACTTAAATGAAGCATGTACATTTTCATTGTATTTAAAAAACCTAAAATTAATTGAGTTAAAGACCCAAACAATGCTAGGTAAATTTTCTAGTTAATTAATAATTTAGAATGTTCTGCAGATAAGATTGATGGGCTGGGTATTCCACAGTAAGTTTTGGATGTCCAGATATCTCAGGTTCAAAACTTGAAACAATGGAAAAAAGGCTTGATTCTTCGGAAAGTGGGTGGCTCAGCAGTACGGTCTAAATATCAAGTTCTTTTAAAGGTGATTTGTGTTAGCCATCTACAGTCACTAGTAATTTCAAAAATATTGAGCAAGATTTTTACTTGCAAATAGTGTTTTAAATTAGTTTAAGCAAAAAACCAAACTGGGTAACAAATATTGGCTAGTAAATAGCTGGTTAGGTCATTTTCCTTCGAGTTACAAATTGGCCACAGAATAATGCCCAATAGGTTTTCAAATTCAAAAGATTTTGCTATATTCTTGGCTTGATATCCCACACGGTGGCATGAATTGTGACTATTACAAGGCTAGATTTACAAATAGTTTTTTTTTAAAAGCCAATCATACTTTGTTTAAAAAAATTCAAAACCACATTTCAACAAATTGTAATGGAAGTTAAAAAACCTCCACAATAAAACAGCAATTAAAATAGAGTTAGTGCTTCCAATATCTATCTATCTATCGATCTAGAGCAAAATATACTTACAGGAACGGAAACAGCAGCAGTCTTTCATATCAGCAGTCTTTTTGTGTTCCTAAAAAGTAAAATAAATACATTAGTGTCTAACTGGAATGTCTTCTCCATAATAGTATCTGCTAGTAGGGCACAATACTGATCTTAACTCTATTAATGTTCTATGTACCAAATTAAACTGTTATGAAAAGATATTTTCATCCATCCTAAGTTTGCAACCGAGTTCCAGTAGAATTCACCTATTTTTCGCTTTTTTATAACTATAGTGGCCTGAAAAATTGCCAGTTTTGTTTGAACAGTAAGGTGATAATTTACAAGTTAAAATGAATTTTTCTGCAAAGTTTGAATAACATTTATCATGCTCTTTTGGAGTTACAGTAAATTACAAATTACTTGGTATAACATTTGTCTTATACTTGACTCTTTTTTTGTGTCTTTCTAGTTTGAAAAAAGCTCATTACCATCCTTGGAAAGAAGAAGTTATTCACCCTGTGCAGTAACAGTCTTCGAGATGTGTGTCCCTGTGTGTGCTCCACTCAGGTCTCGGTGCATCCCTGCACCGGGGATCAGAGATTTTCAGTAGCAGTGTCCCTCATGCCATGCCTACGCACTCAGGGCGCCCCCCCCTCAGAGGCTGTGGAGTGCGCGCATTGTGTGAGTCCCATCTGTTCCTTTTCTACCTGAAGTACCTGAAGACTCCAAGCAGAGGAGAGGACGGGAGGGCAGTGGAGCACCCACAGGGACACACATCTTGAAGAACTACCGTTACTGCACAGGGTGAATAACTTCTTCTTCTTCGCTGAGTGGTGTCCCTGTGGGTGCTCCACTCAGGTGACTCCATAACAGTATCCGCCCAATGGAGGTGGGCACTGGAATCTCTCTAAGTGAAAGGAAGAAGAACTGCATCTGCTAGAGATGTAGAAGGCACCGGCCCTTTGCGTAGGGCATAGTGATGCATGAAAGTATGGTGCGAGGACCTTGTGGCTGCTCTACAGATGTTCGCCTGTGGTGCGTTCTTAGTTTGTGCCTCAGCTCTCCTGGTTGGCACTGATTAGCGTTTCTCTGCGGTACCAGACGCTGATGGTACTGGGGAACGAGAGGCTCTAGACAGCTCGGACAGGGAGCATGCCAGGGAAGCCCTTGAGGCTTGAAAGCCTTTGCGAGGCGAGGAAGCTGCCCTACTGGAGGGCTTTTGCTGCACCCGCATGTCCTTTGGTTTGTCCCTTGGTGACTGAAGAGACTTTTCCCAGGGAATTGCTTTGAGCCGCGATTCTTGGTCTTTTCTCACCCTTGCTGACATGCTCAGCCAACACGGGCATTTCTGTGCCATGTGAGACTCCCCTAGGCATTTGACACATGAGGAATGGCCATGTGAAGTAGGCATTGAGTCTCTGCAGGAGTCATATCTTTTGAAGCCAGGGGAACCCGGCATTGTAGTGGAAAAGAAAAGCCACCGCGGCTGCCGCTTTTTTTTAAAAGTTAACATTGAGAAGGTTAAACTAAGTAAAACTATGAGGTAAAAGGAAAGAAATATGTAAGGATTCAATTTTTCTCTCTTAGGAGGAAGAGCACTGCTGAGCTCCGTCTTCAGCCAGGGACGATTGAAAAGGAACTAATGGGACTTGAGCCACGCACTCCATGGCCTCCAAGGAGGGAGAGGGGGAGGAGCTGAGTGTGCAGGTGTGGCACGAGGGGCACTGCTACTGAAAATATCCGATCCCCGGCACAGGGACGCACTTAGACCTGAGTGGAGCATCCACAGGGACACCACTCGATGAAGAACTTTGAACCACATTAAATCTCTTTGGAAACTCATGCATAGGTAATATTAAAAAAAAAAAGTTTTAAAGAAAGGAGAGAATGAGGGAGCTAGTAACTCCATACTGTTCCTCCACAACAGATATCTTTAGAACAAAGAAACATGCAGCACAGAACAGCCAAGTAAATTGACAGGCAAAACTTTGATAATTTTAATTTGAGCTCACAGTTATGTATGTACACCAAGGAGCACTACAGTTTAGAAAATCTCCAAATATGGAAATGAGCAATCAAAGGAAGATAGATAAATATTTAATTATACTATCAACCCATACGATAAAAACTTTTAATTAAATGTGCACATATAAATAATATACAATATTCCAAACTCCCTACAAATCCTTAATTCTGTCTATCCTAGAGCCACTCTCCATCTATTCAGCAAAAAGAAATTTTGAATTCACTGGTTACAAATTAAAAGTATAACACACTATGCAGACGTGTTGGTTCCCAGGCTTCTTTGAGGTAAATAATTCTCCTCTCTCCCCCAACTATAAAAAACTCCAGGACTTAGATGGGTGTTTGTGTGTTTCAGGTCTTCAGCTGCAGAGGCAGAGAGCAGCTTGAGGCTTCTTCCCTGTGAGGCAGCAAAGCTAGGGGCTTGGAGCATCAGCTGCGAGGGCAGGTGTGGGAGAGGGCTCGGAGGTTCTTCCCTGTGGAGCACCAGAGCTCCTGTCCCATGGGATGCTGGGCTCCCGACTAGCAAGGCACGGGGAATTGGGACTCAGGGCTTCTCCTGCGGGGTAGGGTCCTTGTCCTGGGAGGCTTGTGGTTCTGGGCTTCAGCTGTGGGATGGCAGAATTTAGGGTATTCAACCCAGAGGATTAACCAAGTATTAGCCCTGAGGGTATGGAGGCTTGAGGCTTCCAACCTGTGGGATGCCATGGCTCTGGGCTGCCTCCCTGTGGAGTGCCATGGCTCTGGGCTTTAGTCCTGCATGGTTGGGGGTTTCAGGACTTCAGCTGTGGGGTACCAGGACTCAGAACTCTCAGCTTTCTGGCTTGGGCTCCAGTCCTGGGCCCTAAAGCCAACCTTGCTTTTTGGATCCACTGAAACCAGCTTGTGGCCCCCAATGGGGTGCAGACCCACAGTTGAGAACAGCTGAACTAGACAATGGTCTGTCAGCCATATTGTCATAGATGGGTCCTGGTTTGTAAGAGTTTGTAGCATATCACACTAACAGATGGAAAATCAATTTCCTTGTTGTTACTGACACTGATGAGACATAAGTGGGGCCTAGGCCTTGGGCTAATCCTCTGCACCCTGAATAAATTAGTGTATGAACATGATTGTTTAATCAAATACTTCATTAATTAATAGTGTGCTAACAACTTAGTTACATATGGCAAAATATGCATTATCTAAAGTGCTAGTTGAAAATAATGATACTCGTTGAGGTGTATTTGCCAAACACTATTCAGGCAGCTCTGCTTGCAAGTACATTTTTTCGTGACTAGGGCTAGGAAGCAATAACATTTCACAGTGTGGAAGAGCATGAAGCCCTCTTGGAAATGATACAAGGGAATGTCAGAGATGATTTATTAGGAAACCTTTGCACTGGACATTAGCTATCTGCTCCATGCCAGAGGCTTTCTGAGAGCTTAAAGACATACCAGCATGGGGAACATAAAAGGAAAACAACCCTGTATGGTAGGGTGAGGTTCCTTCATTTGGTCTCCTTACTGCAGACAATATTCACAGAGAAGTTGTGGCAAGTTCAAAACCCAATGCTTTATTCACAGTTCAACCCTCCTCAAGATGTTTACATTCTCCCTAGGTAGAGGGTGAGAGTAGATCAAGATCTCACTTCTCTGAGGGTATGTCTACACTACCCCGCTAGTTCGAACTAGCGGGGTAGTGTAGACATACCCTAAGGGAAGAGAGGAAAATTACTCTGTGCAAAGCAAACTTCAGGGGGTAACAGGTGGGATTTTGGGGGACAGGCATAGAGGCTGGGGTTCTTTTTTCTCCTATTCCGAACTACCATTACTCCTTGTGAAACGAGGTGTACCGGTAGTTCGGAGTAGGCACCCTAGTCCGAACTACCTAGTTCGAGCCCCGTGTAGCCGCGCTGCACGGGGTTCGAAGCAGTGGGGATTTAAAAATGGCGGCTCCCCGCTTATGCTAATGAAGCCCGGGAAATTCAAATCCCGAGCTTCATTAGCAAGTGCGGTATGCATACATTACCCTCCTAGTTCGAACTAGGAGGGTAGTGTAGACATACCCTGAGAGCTTTGGCTTCTATAGCTATTCTTCCCAACTGACCTCTTGAGCTGAGCCACCTTTTTAACTGGGTAATTATTCAGTCCTTAACACATTATTTCCCTAATTTGCCCCACATGGGGATGATTACCAAGAGCCCAGCCTAATGTTACTCACCTTCTGCTGCATCCTGGTTTACTTCGATATATTTTTTGTCTGTGAGCTATGTATTTGTTATCTGGAATGCCAAAAGGTACCTCAAACATGAGACACATCATATATTTCTGAGATTTAATTTGGCCCATCGAGTTGAGTAGGTACTTTGTGTTGCTGTTCTCCTCTTATACACACTGAAAAGTAGCATGTAATGGGATAAAAGCAAGAGCAGTAAACAGACGCAAGGGAGGTCTGCAATAGTACTCTGTAGCCCAACTGATGTTATCTGAGTCACTTTCCCATAGCTCACTGGAACGTTTAAGATGAAGTGAGAAATTCAAATGTCAAAATGTAGTGCACTTAGAAAGAAACTGCTGCCTTGTATATAGAATGACTTCAGCCTCCTCTCTAGGGACATGTTTTTTCCACATAGATGTCCTCTGAGGTGCTTTAGAATGTTATAACCATGTCTCGGAAGAAGGGAGTCTCTAACAAATAGATGGAGTAACTTCAGCAAACACAAAGTTATCCATGTTCTACCCCTCGGCCATGCTTAGTTGCTGTTGAGAAATGTTCCAGTTCCCCCACCATGACTGTTCCTCTTCAGAGGCTGGGAACACTGTTCCGCCTTCATGTGTTCACTGTTTCAATTAGCATTTCTTCACATTTATCTACCTCTTGACACATTGCATTACTGTAATCACACATTTATTAACACAAATTCCTACTGTATAATGACAAACTATATTCTGATATCGGCAGAAGATTAAGTTCAGACTCTAATGTAATCAATGGTGAGCATCACCCTGACATTTTATGAGACCAGAATTTGGTTCTCAAAGAATACAGGAAAGGAACCCACAAAGGCCTCCAGGACAGAGGCTGAGGTCACTGTGCAGGTGCATATAAGGAGGATATTGAACCAGGATGCAGCAAGAACTGCCTCTATTGTCAGATAGATAAGCGAACATCCAACAGGCAGTGCAAATGTCAAAGGACATACAGTTTAAAACCAGATTTCAGTTTGACTTCCAACATCTAAGTAATTAAAAAAGGTGATAAACGATATCCTGACCTTTTTCATTATCATGCAGTTCATTATTTTTCACAGAGTAAAAATCTTTGACAAATATCAGTGGATGTTTCCCCATTACTACTTAACAATAAATGACTCCATGCATAATAAAATAATACAACAATATTCTATAAATGTGTGCCAAACTCCTGTAATAATACTAAGGTAAATAAGAGTGTTTGGGTCGGTCATTGTAGAATACTGTTGAATTTTTTAAAAATAATGTATCCTTCAGAACATAGTAAGTTCAAAGATGACAGGATCTTGACTGATAGGTCCTCATTCAAAAGGTTCTCAGTCAGTAAGATACATGAAATTTATTTGACCCACCTTGAAAGCATTAACAACTAAGCTGACACTTCTGTATTCCATTGAAATAGGTATTTAAAATCTGATACATAGATCACTAAAGTAGCTCATCTGGAAGCCAGTTAAATCTATTAACTTATACATGCGAATACAAAAATTATTATAGTATGTCATGGTGACCTGTAAACCTTCACTTATTTTAAGATGTTGTCAGTGCCCCTCACTGTTACAAGTAAGGGCTATATAATATTGAAGAATTGTACAAAGAAGAGTACAATTCCTCTTTTCCATGATCCCTGGAAGTACGAGTGATACAGCAACAGAAAAAAATAAAACACAGTTAATTAATTCGTCTAGGATGACCAACAAACACATATTTTAATTTTTCACTCTCTCTCTACAGTATTTCAGATGCACTGGAAATGTAGAGAAGAAGCGCAAATGGACCAATCTACTTTCCTAGTCTCACCTTAATGCATGGAGGTTCAACACCAGAAGCATCGACACCATTAGACTGGAGCAGCGGGCAACATATGGAAAACCAGAAAAGCCAAGCACAGAGGCAACCAGCAGCAAACATGGGGAGGGGAAAATGCCTCTTGCTTTCAAATGCCATTGTTGTAGAGGCAACTGTTTTGGGGAGACAGAGGGTAAAGTGATCCTTCCCTTGCTTTCCCTTTATGTGCTACTGCTCCTCAGCAGCAAGAGGTCTAATATCCCTGTGCTCACACCTACCCTGCCCCTTTGTTCTCATTGGATAACTACGTAACAGAGCCCAAACCCCGCTGTACTCGGGAGGAGGGAGATGAGGGGTCCTGAGATGGCTGACAGAGATTAAAGAGAGAGAGAGTCTTGTGGGGAAAGCAGCCTCCAGAGAGTGTGTTGCCTGATTTTAGAGGCTCTGACCGGAAGATAAGGTTCTTGTCCCAGCATCACACTACACAGAATTAAATGTGGTGAGTTCAATATCTCATAAGGACCTTTGGGGTGTAAACCAAGTACACTGAAGCTGAGGACAAAACACAGCCTTACAGACTTATTAAAATAAGTCCAAGCCACAGAACCAAAAGAGAGTAATACACTACTGGGAGTACCAGAGGTATCATTCTTTAAAAAAAATCTTGTAGATTAGTATATTCAAACCCTTCTTTGGGGACCTGATGGCAAGAGACAAAGGACCAGCCTTGCCTCTGGCATGCCAAATAAGTACAATGGGCAAGGTTCCTCAATACCCAAAATAGACTAGACTCTGAGGGTCAAATGCTGAGTAGCTAAGATAACAGTGGACATCCAATAGATATGGTTGTTTTCTCTTTTATAGAGCCTGAGCACTAGCACAAATATTCATGCCAACACCCAACCTTCCATGCCAATATCTATCTCCCACATATAATAAAAGCTGAAGGAAAAATTCAGAAGTAGCCAAACAATCCTAATACCAGGAGTTCTCAACCTTTTTCTTTCTGACTCCCACCCCTGCAACATGATATAAAAACTCCAGGACCCAACTGGGGAGCGGGTGTACTCAGATCTTTAGCTATGGGCAAGGAGGGAAGAAGCTTGGGGTCAGGGCATTAGGGTTGAGGCCTTAGGGCTTGGGATTTCAGCCATGGGCTACTAAGGCTTGGAGATTCTGCCCCACTGGGTGCCAGGGCCTTTGGCTTCAGTCACAGGGTGGCAGGGATTGGGACCTATGACCCATGGAGTGCAAGGGCTCAGGGCTTAAGAACATAAGAACAGCCACATTGGGTCATACCAAAGGTCCAACTAGCCCAGTATCCTGTCCTCTGATAGTTACCAATGCCAGGTTCTCTAGAGTGAATGAAAATACAGGTGATCACGTGACCCCTCCCCTAACATCCATTCCCAGTTTCTGACAAACAGGGACACCATTCCTTCTGACTCATGGGGTGATGGGGCTCTGAACTTTAGACTTGTGGGATGGGGGGCAGAGGAACACTCAGGTGTTCTGTGCCATAGGATGCAGGGGCTCTGGGCTTCTGCTGCGGGGCTCAGAGCTTTGGCCCTATGAAGTGCTGGTGGCTCAAAGCTTGGAACTTCAGCAATGGGCACAAGGGCTCAGGGGTACAAGTTTTCTGACCTGGTCCCCAGTCAGTCTAAAGGCAGCCCTGCTTCACAGACCCCTTGAAATTAGCTTGCAGATTTCCAGAGGTCTGTAGATCCTTGATAGAGATTCACTGCTAATATCATATGGTGGTTTTTCCTTTTATATGGCCCAAGGACTAGCACAAATATTTATGCCATTACCTAACCTTCCATGTCCGCATATATCTTCCTCCCACATATAATATCAGAATACACTTATTCCATAGGCTAAAATGACCATACATATTCATGTCAATTAGCTCATTCTCAAACCTGTTACTTCCTGCCCAAACTGGTTTATGATGATTACTTTCATGTTCCTGCTGTAGTCCCAGTGATCACCGTCTCCTGTTAAGTTACAACTTCTATACTTCAGTAAACATGTCTAGCTTCCCCCTCTCTAAAAGAGCGACCCGTTAGGCCATTTATCTATGCCAAAGATCACAAACCTACTTAACAATAGACTAAGTTGCTTAACCTAATCATACAGAATACAGTCCTGTAGATTCTTTGTGTCACAAACATAATAGAAAAAAATGAATATAAAAATACAAGCCAAATACTATAAAACAAACAAGCAAACCAATAAATAAAAGCAGAATATAATAAAGCGACCTACCAGGGTAGACCTGGTAATGTAAGCCATCCTTTAGGCCATCTCGTGAGAACCCTCTACTACCCGTCCTTCAGAGTCATAGTCAGATTAAATGACCTAACGTTCTCTTCTGGTTTTAAAGTCTACACATATCTGGAAAACTGAGTGTGACATCTTGGCTAGGTCTACACTCGCGGCTTCTTGCACGAGAAATATGCAAATGAGGCTAAGTGTGGAATACTGCCGAGCCTCATTTGCATACCTAATGAGCCACCATTTTTGCAGAAGAGGCTCTTGCGCCAGAAGGAGCTGTCTACACTGCCCCTACTTGAGCAAGAAAAACCCTCTTGCGGAATGTCACTACGCTGATTATTTTCAGCCCCTCCCATCCAGGTATCCTCAGCGCATTTCGGCAGGAGTCCCCTCCAAGATGGAGCAGTAGGCAACCCCTACGCTCATAGGGCCCTGGGTCAGGACATGGTGGAGCAGGGTGGCCCAGGCCCCCCTACCAGGGGCAAAACCCTGACTCTGGCCATTAGGCATTACTGCCCTGCAACCAGGGGCACTTAGTGACTCTGGCCATTAGGCCCTAGTACTCTGGGGTCGGGGACATCTATTAATTGTGACTAGGAGACCGTTAGCCCTGTGGAGCAGACTGAGAGTATTGCACGGGGCAAGGGAATTATGTACTAGCAAGTGGGCTGCGAGTCTGGTGATCAATCAAGTGCAGCGTCTGCATGTTGGAATAGCCATAGTCACGTGACAGGGTGGGCAGACCCCGCCACAGTTGGATATTAGGAAAAACTATTTCACAGGGAGGGTGGTGAAGCACTGGAACAGGTTACCTAGAGAAGTGTTGAAGTCTCCATCCCTAGAGGTTTTTAAGTCCCAGCTAGACAAAGCCCTGGCTGGTATGCGGTTAGTCCTTCTTTGGGTGGGAGTTGGACTCTTTGACCTCCTGAAATCTCTTCCAACCCTATCATTCTATGATTCACAGCTGATTACACTGCCAATCTTGATGGGGTACAAAAAGCTGTCAAGCAGATAAAATCCATAAGTGATGTGATCCCATCAGAAATGTTTAAAGCTGATGGTACCCAGCTGATACACTGTCTCACCCATTTATTTATCACAATTTGGGAGAAAAAGCAAGTCCCCCAGAACTTCAAAGATGCCCTAATTGTACACACATACAAGAGAAAAGGTGACGGTGCATGCTGTGATGACCACTGGGGCATCTCACTACTGTCTATAAATGGTAAGATACTGGCCTGCATCGCCTACAACTGGCTGTCTTTACATGAGTTACAAATGGCATCATTCAAGATTAAACTAGATGGGTTTATGAAGGGGATGGTTTGATGAGATAACAGGATCTTGGTAACTAATTGACCATTCATTATCAGTGGGAAATAGGTCAATGGAGGGATGATAGGAGTTACTATAGAGAACTTTCTGGGTGTCTGGCTGGTGAGTCTTGCCCACATGCTCAGGGTTTAGCTGATCACCATGTTTGGGGTCGGTAAGGAATTTTCCTCCAGGGTAGATTGGCAGAGACCCTGGAGGTTTTTCGCCTTCCTCTGTAGCATGGGGTACAGATCACAGCTGGAGGATTCTCTGCATCTTAGGGTCTTCAAACTATTTGAAGGCTTCAATATCTGAGATATAGGAAAGAGGATTATTCTAGGAGGAGTGGGCGAGATTCTGTGGCCTGCACTGTGCAGGGGGTCAGACTAGATGATCATAATGGTCCCTTCTGACCTTAAAGTCTATGAGTCATTCCTGAAAGTCAGCGTGGATTTCATGCCAGTCAAGGCACTGCCAGTATGATATTCACAGCCAGGCAGATCCAAGAAAAATGTGGAGAGCAACATCAGGATCTCCACATAATTTTCATTGACTTGAACAAGGTATTTGACACAGTCAACAGAAATGGGCTTTGGAAGGTACTTGGGCAAACTGTCTGTCCCAAAAAATTCATCAATGCAGTTCAGACCTTTGATGATAGTAGACTGGGTCACATCATTAACAATGAAGAGAAATTAGTGCCCTATAAAGAATCAAATGGTACAGAGCAAGGAAGTGCCCGTGCTCCTTTCCTGTTCAACATTTACAGCAATTATGCTCTTAATTGCTTTCAAGAATTATAGAATTGGGCATACCTCTTCAGTTCCAAACTGGTTGCATATTCAACTTCTGAAGACCTCAGGCTCACACCAAAGCATTCACTACAACTATCTGTGACTGCCTGTTTGTTGGTGACTGTGCATTGTTGGCTCATTCAATCAAGGATGCACAGGAACTTTTTGATCATTTTGGACTCGCTGTGAGCCTCAAGAAGACAGAGATTATGTCCTAGTCTTTTCAGAAAGAGCCCAGCACCCCAGTGATCACTGCTGCTGTTACTGTTCTGAAGGCTATTGGTAAGTTTCTCTACCTTGGAAACATATTGTTCTCCAGCACAAATGCTGACGATGGTGTATCTGCTGGACTAGCCAAAGGCAGTGCTGCCTTCATAAGATTGACCAAACACTTACGGAATGACCATGGTGTTAAACTATTGCATTCATATGAAATTTATCAAGAAGTTGTCCTGAATATCCTGCTGTATTGGTCAGTCATAGACCAGATGTTGCCATCACATTTTGAAACTTGATCGGTTCCATATGCTCTGCCTCAGAAAGATCGCCCATGTGAATTGGTGGGACAAAATTCCTAATACAGAGATCCTTAGCTGCGTGGTGTCATGGGTGTTGAAGCAATGCTTATGGACAAACAGTTTCACTAGATTTGTCATGTTATGAGGCTGAATGATACACCAAATATGGTCTTCTACAGCCAGCTTGTTCCGGAAACCGCTCTATTGGTGGTCAGTATAAGCATTATAAAGATCTCTTCAAAGTTAACAAAGTCATGCAGCATATCTTCTGGTTACCTAGAAATCATAGCTCAAGACAGGTTGTTCTGGTGGCAAACTATTTTACACCGTGAGTTCCCCGTGGCTCCCAGCAGCTAAGATGAGTTCCTGCAACTGCTTGGAGCCACAGCGAATTTTCCCACTTCTCCTGAGAGCTGCAGGAGTTCCCCACAGCTCCTGGGAGCTGCAGTGAGTTTGGGTGCCATAAGGAGTTCAGCGCTGGGGCCAGGAACTGCAACTCCCAGTATTTGTGAATTTCACAATTCATGGTGGATGTGTGCCTGCATGCTCCACAAACGGTGAGGGTTTCCTGTAGTGATTTGGTAAACGAAAACAATTGTATTAAAAATGGTAATGAAAGAAGTAT